CACCTTCTCACAGGATGTATTGGATTTGCATGGCAAACTTTTGGTAGCAGGGGGCTACAGGTGGGGATGGGGGTGTGTCTGTGAGAAGATGCCAGAAGCTTCCCCTGTGTCCAACGGAGCCAATGCCTGCCAGCTCCAAGATGGACCCACTGCTAGCCAAAGCTGAGCCCATCAGCTGGGAAAACAGAGTCAAGAAGGGTGAAAAAATGCACAGAGGCTGCTGGAAAGAGGAGTGAGAGTAAGTGAGAGAACAGTCCTGTAGACATCAATGCACAGAGACTGCTGGAAAGAGGAGTGAGAGTGAGAGAACAGTCCTGTAGACATCAAGGTCAGTGAAGAAGGAGGAGGAGCTACAGGCACCGGAACAGAGATTCCCCTGCAGCCCATGGTGCAGATCAGTGATGCAGCCTGTCCCCCTGCAGCCCATGGAGGTCCACTGGGGTGCAGATATCCACCTGCAGCCTGTGGAGAATCTCATACTGCTGGAAAGAGGAGTGAGAGTGAGAGAACAGTCCTGTAGACATCAAGGTCAGTGAAGAAGGAGGAGGAGCTACAGGCACCGGAACAGAGATTCCCCTGCAGCCCATGGTGCAGATCAGTGATGCAGCCTGTCCCCCTGCAGCCCATGGAGGTCCACTGGGGTGCAGATATCCACCTGCAGCCTGTGGAGAATCTCATGATGGAGCAGGTGGATGCCCAAATGAGGCTGTGACCCTAGAGGAAGCCTATGCTGGAGCAGACTCCTGGCAGGACCTGTGGACCCATGGAGAGAGGAGTTCATACTGGAGCAGGTTTGCCAGCAGCACTTGTGACCCTGAGAGGGACCCACGTACACAGATCTGTTCCTAAGAACTGCACCCTGTGCAAGGGAACCACATTGGAGCAGTTCATGAAGAACTGCAGCCTGTGGGAAGGAATCCCATTGGAGAAGTTCATGGAGGACTGTCTCCCATGGGAGGAACCCCACGCTGAAGCAGAGGAAGAATGTGAGGAGTCCTCACCCTGAGAAGGAAGCAGCAGCAGAGAGAGCATGTGATGAACTGATGGCAGCCCCCATTCCCCATCCCCCTGTGCCACTGGCAGGGAGGAGGTAGAGAAGACCAGCAGTGAAGTTGAACCTGGGAAGAAGGGAGGAGTGGGAGGAAGGTGTTTTAAGAATTAGTTTTTTATTTCTTACTACCCTATTCTGTTTCGTTTGGTAATGAATGAAGCCGATCTGCTTCGTCCGTGACAGTAATTGCGAGTGATCTCTCGCAGCTGTTATCTCGACCCAGGAGCCTTTTGTTGCAATTTCTCTCCCCTACTGAGCTGAGGAGAGCAGTGCTAGACCGGCTTTTGTGGGCACCAGGCACCCAGACAGAGTCAAACCACCACAGAGGACATCAGCAAAGCCATAAAACAGTTGCAAAACTTTAATATTACTTGGACCTAAGATCCCAGCCCACCAGGTTGCCCGGGGGAAGAGAGCAGCAGGGACCCCTGTACATTAAATGCTGGCTCCCCAACAAGAACATACCTAAAGCTGCTGCTTCCTGCAGCGTTCAGAGTCGCATCGACACGCTGAAAAGGTTCAGTACAATCCATTTTGGCTCTTAACAGCATTTAATGCCTTCACTGAGGCGTTGCGGACAGTGATCTCCATTAGTGCTCATTTTTGTGACTGTCACACAACATGCCTCGTGCTGCTGCAGGAGTGCATTGTAAATTGTGCTGGATCTACACCCAGCCTGCTCGCCATGTATTTAAAGCTGAAAGCACTTTAGCACTAGCTACAGCTCCAAAGCAAACACATGATTTGTTTCACATCAGAGCACACTTGCATATACTCTTACTTCAGACTAGCAGAGATAAATGACTTGCTGGAAGATACCATTTGTAGGACAGAACATTTATATTGCAGAGACCAGAGATTTTTCTAAGGCTTTATTATTCTTGCAATGAGTCAGTATTTGCTACTTGATGTAATCTTGGCAGCATAGCAATATGCTTTTTACCATTTGGACAAGAAATGCAGAGTAGCTGTTTTATTTCAAAATAGGTTCTTTTGTTTGTTTGTTTGTTTTGAAGGAGGTGAATATGTAAGGCTGTTTGATGACAAGTCTCAAAATGTGTACAAAGCATTTTACCTTTGGAGCGTCACTATTACAGATCAGATTCTGCATACTGCTGTTAATATTTAAATAGCTGAATATGAAAAACAACAGCGAATTGCAGTCAAGTCTTTGAGCCTGCATGCAGTTATACATGCTGGCATTGTTCTGTGTGTGGTGGTTTATTGAATTGTGTGGGTCTCCACAAATGCAGCTCTGCTTACAGATACATTTGCAGGATTAGAGTCTAAAGTAATAACCCTCTGATTTTAGATTTGCAAGTAAGGGTATTTTTAACTTTGTTAAGAGATTTTCGCCCTCTCCAAACCTGCTGGAGAGTATCCATTCTGTTTCATATAGAGCTAAAAGCCTGTTATGCTGATAATACTTGGAAATGGCTTAGTGCACTGAACAGTGTTTACATTTTTCAGAAATGTGACTTAGGAGCATCAGCACCTTTAAGACACTATAGTCAAGCAGAACAGGATCTGAAACTCCAGTATTAATTGTAGTGGGGGAAGGTTGTTGAAAACAGAAAGCTAAGGAATGAACAGATGCACTTTCAGAAGCATTCAATGCATGCACATACACCAAATGTGCTTAGTTTAGCCCTGCCATTCTTCCTATCTCTATAACACTGCTAATATTGAAGAACAAATCTTGCTCTCACCCAGTGGCTTGCTCCCCTCCTTTCCTTGCTCCCAACCTTAATAGCTATGACCACAAATGATTTCTCCTCACCTCCATATTGTTAACTGCATCCCATCAGCTAAAAACACCCACATACCTCTACATGAAGAGAAAAAGAGTAGGAATTCTTGTTTGAATATTGCTAAAATTTACAAAAGCCACCAGGGCGATGGCATGCAGCATGAGTGATCCCTCCACCCAAAGCAGAGGAAAAGTGCTGTAGTCCTTCCTCATGCAAGATTTGCAGTGGCATCACTGGGACTTTTGTTTCAGCAACAGCTTGTAAAACTGACATTAAAAAATTACACAGAATATAAACTGATTTTATGACATAACAAATAATATTTAATATATAGCATTGAATGCATACACATCAATACCAGTGCTGTAACAACAAAACAGAACTTGTAAAATTAGCAGCAGTTTTTTTGCAAGTACAAAAATACACATTTTTTTCAGAACATATATAATAGCAAAATTTAACAGGATATATTATACAAACTCAAAGCATTTAGATAATGCATCACTTTAATATATTATATGATGTATGACACAGACAGAGAGATCGAGTGCACCCTCAGCAAGTCTGCAGATGACACGCTGCCGAGAGGTGCAGTTGACACAATAGAAGGCTGGAATGCCATCCAGAGGGACCTGGACAAACTTGAGAAGTGGACCCACAAGAACCTCATGAGATTCAACAAGTCCAAGGTCAAGGTGCTGCACCTGGGTTGGAGCAATCCCAGAACAGGTACAGACTGGGAGAAGAGCTCTTTGAGAGCAGCCACGTGGAGAAGGACCTGGGAGTTCTTATGGATGAGAGGCCACGAACCAACTGTGTGCACTTACAGCCCAGAAAGCCAACCAAATCCTGGGCTGCATCAAAAGCAGCATGGCCAGCAGGTTGAGGGAAGTGGTTCTGCCCCTCTTCTCTGCCCTTGTAAGTCCCTACCTGGAGTACTGTGTCCAGCTCTGGGGTACTCAGCACAGGAAGGACGTGGATCTGTTAGAGCAGGTCCAGAGGGCTGCAAAGAACACTACAGGAATGGAACAGCTACCTCTTCTGTGATGAAATGCTGTGAGAGTTGGGGTTGTTTAGTCTGGAGAAGACTATGGGGAGATTTCACTGCAGCCTTCCAGTACCTGAAAGGGGCTTATAAAAAGGAGGGAGAAGACTTTTTATATGGGCAGATAGTGACAAGGGGCAATGGTTTTAAACTGAAAGAGGGCAGGTTTAGATTAGATGTTAGGAAGTTCTTTACTCACAGGGCAGTGAAGCACTGGAACAGGTTTCCCAGAGAAGTTGTGGATACCACATCCCTGGAAGGGTTCAAGTACAGGTTGGATGGGGCTCTGAGCAAACTGGTCTAGTGGAAAGAATCCCTGCCCATGGCAGGGGGGTTGGAACCAGATGAACTTTACAGTCCCTTCCAACCCAAACCGTGTTTTAGATGCTGCATAATAAAATTACATGTGTTCTGCTTACAATAATACATAATGCCATTTACAGCAATGTTAAGAAAATATTCACAACTTAAACATGAACAGAACAGCAAACAAAGCACAATAAATGGAACATACAGAGCGGCGAGGTGTTAGTTACAAGCTTCAGCATTTCTTTTTACATACCTTTGAGCTTACTTTTTTTCTTTCTTGTGCAGTGTGAAAGAAATAACTACACCTATTGAACATACTGTATAAACATACAGAAAACAATACACTTACTCCTTGGAGGACAATGAAGGTAATATCTATCAGTCTCAGAACAGTAGTATAATACCACAGTTATGGAATCTATGATGACTTTCCACACTACATCAAAAGCACAAAGGACTGGGACTCACATCTGCAAGGCTCAACACACGAGTGGTCAAGAGGAGAGGCCCAGCAGGCACCCTGCAGCCCTGGCAGGGCCAGAGAACAGGGCACTGGCCTTAGTTACCTCCTGAATCCCTTCCAGATTTTCAGGACATTTCTGTTTGCTTGCTTTTTAGCAATTTTTATTATTCTTAAAATGTTCTTGCAAAGCTTTATGTCAGAACATTACTCAGACAGTTTCCTAAAAAAAGAAAACCTGTGAGTCTGGGGACTGCTCAATTAAATTTGAACAACCTGGATGTTAAACTTAAAATGAACACACATTAACACCAAAGGCATTTTCTGTATGGTGTTTATTTTAAGCGTTAAGATTCCTCTGCAAAAAAGCTTTGGTCAGTCTCTTCAAACTTTGGATTCCTGTAATGCTTTTCTAGACCTCCTCTTTGATCATGAAATCTGTCTCTTCCTGTGACTTTCAGAGGCAATGGCCGAATGTCAGGCTTAATCAAAGAGCCATCAACTCCATCAGTAGGTTTCAAAGGTGCTGGCCTGCTGTGGGGCTGCACCAAGCCCCTCTCAGCCACAGCGTCGGTAGGTTGTGGAGATGTTGGCACCTTGGTGGGTGTAACCAAATAGTCATCAGCCACAGCTGTAGTTGTGTCTTCGTGTTTCCTTAGCAACGGAAAAGTGCTATCAAAAGGGCAGGAGGTTTCAGTTAGGGTAAACAGAGTCTGGTCTGAAAAGTGAGAGAAAGCACAGTCCAGGGAGCAAATTGACGACACAGATGGAGATGTTCCAGAAGAAGACTGGCTAGAAGAGCTAAATCCTGAGCAAATATTTAATCCCTCTGGCGTTGGAGGCAGGAGACAACGGGACTGGTCTTTCTTTTCAATGTTTTGGTTTGTGTTGTCACTTTTACCAACGTTAATCCCTATAATCAAGCTCTGATTGCTAAACTTTTGCCTTTCCACCTGCAATGACCGAAGCTGATGGAGATAGTCTTCATCTTCATGAGACAGGACAACATCACAGCTGGCTTTGCGTGTTGCCTTCTCATGACCATCATCAGTGTGGGTGAAACTGGAGGTGAGGAGGCCAACTGCAGGCTCTGAGGAGCGCCTGTGTCTCCTCAAAGGTTTGAGAGCACCCGAGGTAGCTGCTGAAGAGAAACCCAGTGCACTTGAGCAGAGAGACTCATTCTCTGAGTTTTGCTGTGATGAAAACTTAAGGTGTGTGTCAACAGAAACTGTTGATTGTTTTGATTTGGTTTTACTCTGGATTTCATCCACCTCCGTCTGCTCCGAATCGCCATCACTCAGAGTGAAGACAGACTCCCTGCTCCTGTTATCCTGATCACGGGTTTTAATCCAGTCACTAGATGAAGAGTCAGCTTCATCATTCGCCTCATTTTCCAGGCTGTCATAGGAAGAGTCATTCTGATGGAGAGAAGCCACATCTGCAAGGACAAGCCACGTGTTAACACATCAGTAACTGAACCACACTGTTGACAAGCAGCTTCTTTCTTTTTTTTTGTTTCTTTTTGGCAAGTATCCTTTACTTTCAGGAGCATTTGCCCTTTAAAGATTCTTCATGCAGAAAACCCAATAATTGCAGAAAAAATTACTGCCTGATTTTTAAATGGAGTGAGTGCGAAGCTGCAGTTCAGTCAAGAAAGAAAGGATAAAGGCACAAATAAGGGTTAGTGGTTTGGTTTTGTTCAGCAGCAGCAGGACACAGTTCATGCACAGGCAGTCACCACACCTCAGTGTGTGCCTAAAACCTGTGCAGCTGCTGTAACCTATCGTGGCTCTGAGTGCTCAGTCCCAGCACATCCCAGCACAGCACATCCCATTTGCTTCACTCATGGGGAGGGGGCAGGCCAAATTCCACTGGATTTCATCAAATCTCACTGGAGGCAGAGCATGAGGACTTTGGGACAGTCACACTGAGTCACCCTGGCATGCCATGACCACTTTCAGTATAAGCCAGCTGTCACAAAATTTACTTTACATAGATGCTATTTTGGAAATATTTTGAGGATAGTGGCTGAGATGTCTGGAAGAGGAACAAGAGATTCTTTGTGCAAACATTTTGTGATATGGTCCAGGTCTACGATAAGTTGCATCAGTGATTACGACCAATACTTTGGGTAGAGGAAAGAGAATAGCAATATCTGGGAACACCACAGGAAGAAGGAACAGCATTCTTCCATGGAAGACACTGATCTCTTACCTGGCTGAGTTTAGCTGTCTAATGGGATCAAAACATAAATGCATATTACCTGAGCTGTTTTCTCTCTTGCATGTCATCAGTATTTCTCCAAAGAGGGAGGTAATTTCATCTCCAAAAATCCTGCAGCAATTCTCAATGAGGAACTGTACCAGAGTAGAAATCTGCAACAAAACAATGGAAGAGAGATGTCTTCTCAGATCTTCTATTACTCCACTCAGGGCAAGCTCACCATATGGATGAGGAACAGGATCAAACTGTCATCCCTGATGGCAGCCAGGAATCACGGTCTCTGTCTCCTCGGCCCAGCAAAAATGTCCTGGTATACATCCTTGTATACATCTTTTCCATTTCTACTCAGGCCTGTTCTGAGATCACCACAACCACAGATGTTTTTGATGAGAGAAGCACTTTGCTAATACCCTGGGCATTGCTTTATGCTCTCCCTCCCCTTCTTCCAGGCAGGTTACGAGAATGGATCTATAAATGTTTCTGGAGCCCAAATAAGAAGACAAATCCTGAGCTGAAGAGGTACTGACTGCTTTCACACTTATAACCAACAGTCTGGTTGAACATGATGAAGGCTGGTTTATTTTTTTACTACACTTAAGTGTCTCTTACCTTCTTTATAAGTTCACTTTCTGTATCAGGAGTGGAGGAAACAGCAGGCCAGAGCAGGCTGGGTGCAATGCAGATAGCCAGGTTAAATGCATTCATCTGGTTCTCTTCAGATCGCATTTCTATACTATGCAGTACTCCAAAGATGTAACGCAAGAGAACAACATTAGCTCTGGGGAGCTGCTCTAACAACCTGAAAACATACAGAAATGCATATCTTCAAATTAGTGACCATTTTCCATAGATATACAGAAGTCAAGATAATGGAAATACAGAAACAGGGCAACATGGTCCACTAATAAAACCAGGGAGTGTGTCAAAGACCTGTTCTTGCTCAGATGCTTTCCCTTTACTGTGTCTCTGAAGAGTTTTCTGGGACAACAGAAAACACTGTAACACATAATAAAAATTATCCTCTGTCAAGCCAATGAACCAAGTACAATGTATGACATGAAACTGTACTCCACCTAAGTTGCCTGATAATTCACTACTCACTTGACCAAACAGTTCAGTTGTCTCTCTGTGCCATCTAGTTGCCTTATGTTTGTGTGTGAGTACGTGTGACATCAGCTAGTGTTTGTACACCAGTCCTGTTTTCTATGACATACACTTTGCCTACTTTCTGTTTCGTATCACCTGCAAGGGTGAAGGGTTCCTTGTCACTATGCTCCAGCACTTCATTTGCAGTTCCATCTTGGCTTCAAAATGGTCACTAAAATTTGAGACAAATGAGTGGGAATGAGTGGGGACCTGATTTCAGCTTCCTTTTCACCCAGGACTCCAAAGTTCCCTTCAGGTGGTTTTGGATTTGGTATCAGGTAGAAATTCAGGTCTTGGACAGTGTATTTATAAATACTATAAGCTGGTTTTGCTTTTATTTTTCCTGAAAGGATATTTAATGTATTTACTGATATCCGCAAAAGGCAGAAAAGCAGGACAAAAGAGTCAGAAAATTGTCTCATACAGACAATCGCTTAAGTCTAGATGCAAGCTTGAATGTTCTGTCATATCCAAAGATATTTTAGCATCTATTTTTTAAAAAAAAATAATTGTAAGTTAAATATTTGTGATTCTGCATTCTGGGATATCCATTTATAGGGAA